CCCCTCCCCGCCCGTCCGTCCCCGCGCTCCCCTCACGCACGCACGCACGCACGCACGCAGGCGTCACCCGGGGCTGGCCCAGCCCTCCTTCCCCTCCTCTTTCCGCCCCGGTGCCGCTCCCCCGCCTCCCCCCCGAGCCGCTACCGCCGGCACCCCGCGCTCAGGCAGTAACTGCGCTGTTCCCGTCCGCCATCCGTTTCCCAGCGCCGCCGGCCCGGGCTGCGCTGCCTCCCCCTCCCTTCCCCCCCGCGCGCCTCATCCCCGGGCCGGCCCACGCGCCGGAGGCGGGCGGAGCTGCGCGGGGCGGCTGCCAATAGGGGGAAGCGGAAAGCGGCGTGAGAGACGTCACTGCGGGTGGCAACAGGGAAGGAGCCCTGCCTCCGCGCGGGGGCGCTGCCGCGCGGCGTGGGGTGGGGGGGGCCGGCGGCGCGAGGGACGGCGTAACGGTCGGGGCAGTGCGGGAGCGGAGCTGAGGGGAGGCGAGGCGGGAGGAACCGGGCAGCCTCGCCGCGGGCTCCGCGGGGCTCAGGGGCTTGTCCCCACCTTCCCCCTCCGCCTCGACGGGGAAGGAGAGGCCTGGCTTTCCCGGCGGGAAGGTGCCCCCACCCCGGGAGGGAGCGCTCGGGGTTGGCAGGGCACGGCTGCCACCTTCGCCCGCACCGTCAGGCGGAGAGGAGGTGATGCCGTGGGTGGGACGAGCGTTTGGGGGTACGGCCGTCGGCTACCCCCTTTCCAGCGTCTCCATAGCCGGTCCCGGCCGCCCCAGCCGCTGCCACCTGCGGCGGTTTGAACAGGATTGAAGTCCTGGTGCTCCAGGCGTGGTTCCCCCTCTGCTCTGCACTGGTGAGGCCACAACTGGAATATTGCGTCCAGTTCTGGGCTCCCCAGCTCAAGAGGGACAGGGAACTACTGGAAAGAGTCCAGCGTTGGGCTACAAAGATGATTCAAGGATTGGAGCACCTCCCTTATGAGGAAAGGCTCAAAGAGCTGGGGCTCTTTAGCCTCGAGAAGACTGAGGGGAGACCTAGTCTACGTTTACAAATTCCTAAAGGGTTGAAGGAAGATGGAGCTGGACTCTTTTCAGTGGTTTCCAGCGATAGGACAAGGGGCAACGGGCTCAAGCTGGGACTTAAGAAGTTCCACTCAAATATGAGGAAGAACTTCTTTATGGTGAGGGTGACAGAGCCCTGGAACAGGCTGCCCAGGGAGGTCGTGGAGTCCCCTTCTCTGGACATCTTAAAGACCCACCTTGATGCAGTCCTGAGTAATGTGCTCTAGGCAATCCTGCTTTGGCAGGAGAGTTGGACTAGATGATCTCTAGAGGTCCCTTCCAACTCTGACAATTCCGTTTATAAACCACTGCCCTCTTCTGGACCATGGTGATCAGCCTGAGGGGTTCTTCACCTCAGACATCTCACAGAACTTTATTCTGCTACTATTAGGAATGTTTTTGAGCATCACTGTGTTAAGTCTTCTTTCGGTCAGTGACATGTTGCCTTATAGATCACATAATAAAGCACCCTGTTCTGTACACACTACACAAACTTCTAAAATATTTGTTGTTTTGAAAAAAACATTCAGTGGTGTAACTTAGCATCTGTTTCCTAGGTCTAAATGGTGCGTTTAGGAAGCCTAAAATTCATGTTATTTTAGGCATGAGCATGAAAAATATTTACAATTTAAGATACTTCCCACTAAAATTAATATACATATGACCATAAATATTATGGTCATAGATTTTTTTTTACAAGCTTAAAAAAAAAATGTTTCACAACATGCAGCTTCTCAATTAGTAATTTTCATTTTGCTGTGTGAAATGCAAAAGACATACCTAGTCCAGCCTGTTCCACTCCTTAAATTATTCCAAATGTAAAGTCACAAAAGGAGGGTTTAGTAGGAGCACTGCATCCGAGTTGGTAGACAAATTGGTATCTGAAGAGAATAATTTCAACTGACTAGTAATAATTTAAAGGTTTTTCCTTTTGCAAAATGCTTTTCCTAAGAAGTAAAGGGATTGGAAATGGAACAGCTGCCTTTGAGGAGTCAGTTGTAATGTTCAATTATGCCTCCCGGGAAGGATCAGAAGAATTTCTAGTAAATATTGCTTATTTAGCATAATTTTACTCTGCCAGTTTCTAAGGAACCTATTAAGCTAATATCTAAGTGCTGCATAGGGGTTACAGAAAATAATGGCATCTGCCTAGAAGGGACAGTAAGTTATCCGTTCCAGCCCAGTTTTATTGCAGCCACATGTACCACATGTACCCCTGTAGGCTGTGGTTTTTTCTACTTTGGGCAAGATAAGAAAGAGTGTTTCTTGCAGAACAAGGCGGCGGCAACACTTGCAGGGCTCTGCCTAAGTGCTTCAGAGTTTTGGGCTTGCTGATTAGAATGTTTTGTTGGGTTTTTTCCAACTCAAATGTATACGTAGGACCTGTTAAAATGAATCGTGTGTAGCGAGTATCAGGAGGACCAGAGAAAACAGCCTAAGTGCGTCTGTGCAAAGCTTTTTGCATTGGTAGAGAACCATTAATGCATTCAGCAGAAAGAGAACGAGTCACAAACAAACGTTAGTGTACTAGGTTCTCATTAGCTCCAGCTGTTTAGTAAACAGGCTGTTGTTAGCGTGGGAAGCCTGCCTTTTGCACTCATTTATCCTGAGCCAAGTCCTAGATAGCGATCTAGCTCCCAGACAGCCAGTTCTATGCACATTGCAGAAAGGCAGAGGGAGGTTCTTTCTTCTTGGCAGTTGTTGGTCTTTGCATGTGCATGGTCAGACATGTTCCGTCTGTGCCATGCTGGAGTGAATATAGGAGGAAAGGCTGGCGTTTCTCCAAGCATTTTCTTTAGCCCTCTTTGAAATTACTTTGTCCAAGTTGCTTCTCATTTAATTCTCACCATATACCACGCTACCTGCACGGCATGTCACTGGCTTGGTGTTTATAGGGGTTTTATCCTTAACACTTATGTATGTTGAGTGGCTGCATTCCTAGCCATGTAGGATTGCGTAACAAAGTTCTTGTGAGACTACAAGCGGCTGCCTCTGTGGAGTTCAGAGGTGAAGAAGTGAAACTAGGCTGTTTGTCAAGTTTCAATTGATTCCTGCTAAAACAAACACAGAATTAGGTTTAAGCACGAATCGAATTTAAGCACCGTAACATTTTGATAGGAATGGGATTTCTTTGCTGGATGCCACCCGCCCCAATCACATACCATCAGTTTATGTCAAATACTTTACACTTGCTGTGTGACACTTTAAATTAATAATCGTCTTGAGATTATATAAACAAAATTTCTATTTTACTTCGTTGCAGACTTGCTTGTCCTCATAGTTGGAGACCGTAATATAAATAGAAGTACCCTACAGATATTCAAAACAATTGTCTACTTAAACCAGTTTCACTACTGGTTTCAGTATTTAATTGGTTTTAGTAAGCAAAATATTTATTGTAACGTTACTTAGTGTTTAATTGTTTGAGCAGTGAGACAGCTGTATGTGTGATCTATATTTCTATATTTAGGATGTACAAACTTTCCATCTATTGTAAGTTATTTGCTACTTCTGTTCTAGTTTACTTGCTGTTTTAGAAAACCTTCTCTTTCTCTGGAATCAGATTTAAAAAGGGCATAAAACTTGCCTATCTGTGAAACTGTATACATTTACCTACTCTAAGAACATACTCGGGTACAATCACTCACCTAAATGGATGATCATAGTGGTTTTCTGCCAACTACGCAGAAAAAGTGTAATTTGCAATTTTTATCTAAAATATTTATGAAACTAAGCTTATGCCCATAATGCTAAACATTCCACATTGCATATAGTTGTAATAAGGCGTAAACAAACATTGCATATTTTAATATCAAATATTTACATTTACAAGAAAGCAATTTCCATATTCTACCATAATTCATTAACATAATTGTGGAATAACTGATCAAATTATTGAGTTATGGTAGTACAATATGACAGTTATCAAGACACCTGTACTGCCTTGGTTGTGAATGAATTTCAGGCCATGGTTCCAAGGCAATTAAGAAAACTGTAGCCATTACTGGATCATCTAACGATAGAAATTTAGCCGGGTCATGCATATTTACAGAACTGTATTTCAAACAACACCGCTGAACAAGCAAGAGCACACACTAGTGGTTTTCTGTGGGTGTGAGCTGTCAGCACACCGCCTGAAACTCTCATCTGAACCGTGTCCAGGACTTACACCCCTGCCTGATGTATCCTTGGCATGTTTGTCACTAGCTGTTCTGGGATCAGACTGTTCCACAACCAGCCTCTTGAAAAACACCAGGTCATTTTCAGGTTGCCATTTCTGCCTTAATCCTCCAAGAACAACGTGCTGCTTTGTGACAGTTTGACACAGGGTGTGCACTGCCTGAACTCTGTTTACCCTCCAGTTACTCCCCCTGTAACCAGCAAATCTATTAATTGCTGAGATGTGAAGAACTTTCCAGCGGGACAGGCTGTGAGCGCTGCTGATGGGGTGTTGCTGGGGAAGAGGTCCAGCAGAAGCCTCAGGGTTAACAGTGGGGACACCAGGACCCCTCGCCAGCTGGGACCACTGCACTGACCCATTTGACTTTCTTCTGGACTACACCATCTCCTCCACTGCAGGAGAGGCAGGCTGTGTTAAAGACCAGCACACTGACTCTCTTGGCCTCTCTCCTGGGCTGCACTGTGTCTCCCATAGAACAGGGAAGTCATGTCCCTTGTTAACATAAATATTTATCCATGACTAGAATTGCTTTAGTATCCAGGTCCATCCAGTGTCCTCACTGTCAATTCACTCTTTAACTGTGCCACACTTCCTCTGAGCGGCATAAGCGGAGTTGTTGCTAAGGCAGGAGCTGGTCATGGAAATGGAGTACATCTGCACCAAAACTCCTTGCCTGGGAGAAAGCTTCCTTGTGCAGCAGCCACACACAGCAAGAGAAGGTGCTCGCAGAGATGAAGCAAAGGAGGCCAAGTTGGCCCTGCTGGGAGGAATTTTCAATAAGAATAAAATGAACATCCATTCTATTGACATCTGAATTTTTCAAAAGAGTTAGGGGCAGCGGGAAGAGCTGCAAATGCTTGAGGCGCAAAGAAAACAGAAAGAAACGTAGAATAGAGAAGGCAATGTTTTTGGAGATCTATGCTGAAAATACATGACATAGAAATGGCCATCAGCAGAGCTATACTGAGCGGAGAGGAGGATTGCTGCAGTTATTGGGAGGCTGGGAATCACCAACTGCATTATGGCATCGTTAATTAGTTTGGAGAATGCAAACAGCCAGCAAGGTTTTGAACATGACATGTCATTCAGATGTCCCTGCCTCCCTTGAGCTCAGGGTGATGAACACAGTGAAGCATGCTGTGCTTCCCTCACTTGGGTAGCTTGTCTGTGTGTTAACCACATTTCCTCTTTCTTCCTGTCCCTCTACCCCAGCTCCTCTGAAAAGGAGCCTTCTCTACCCAAAGGGGAACATCTTTCTGGCTAAGCCATGTAGCTTTGTTCCTAGCAGTTCACTCAAGACTCTTTGGGCAAGAAAATGTGAGTGATGATTCATTTTTACCCAGCAAGACACTTCTTGCTCATTGAAGGTTACCAGTGTGTTTCTCCAGCTTTCCAGACAGAAATCCATGATGGATCCAGGGTATCAAGATTGATTCCTAATAGCAGAAAGTCATATCTACTCACTCCTGGGGTGACAGGAAGGCGAAGGAGTTGTTACTGTACAAGGCATGTGTGGACATGTTGAATCTGAGGAGAAAAGCAATGACTAAAATAGCCAACAGAGAAGTTCACTTATTCTGGGAAGTGTTTAAAGAGATGGTACTTTGCTCTCCTGAGCTAAAATTCAGTCACCTCTCATACATTATCTCTGCTTTGACATACGACTAGAAATTGCTGGGGGGAAATAGAAAGGGCAAGCTTTCCTGCATAGCTTCATTTTATCACCAGTTTTTACTGGAATCGATGAAGACTATGTCAGGATGTGTGTTTGCATTTCCTTTCTCAAAATTGAGTTGTGTGGTTCTTGTGGTAATCCAGGATGAGGAAAGCCTCAGGGAAGACCTGACAGACACAGATGGTACAGCTTCTACTTAGAGCCACTGAGGTAGAGCATGTCATTAAGATGTGGCCTGTGCCCCCACATAGCTTATGCTGAGCTGAAAGGGCAAAAGAGGAGGCGGCCACAAGTTTTGGAATATTCGGATAACTGAAGATCTGAGGCAAAGATCAACAAAAAGAGTTGAGTGAATGTCCTGTGAGCATTCAACTGGAAGGGGGCTGGGGATAGGCACATGTGAGGACACCAACGGACAGAAAGTGGGGAGGACAAAAAGAAGAAACTGCCAAAAAAAAAGTCTGGGCTAACTATGAAGGGTCCCATCAGATGCAGAATAGCAGAACCACAGAAAGCCAGACAGTTTGAAGTTACCTATCCAACAAATTACTGAACAAACCCTTTGAGCAAATTTGTACTGGCAGCTTGAGTTTATACTGGCTCAGTGCTTTGAATCACTAGACCATGATGTTTTTGAATTGCTACTAGATGCCCTAAAATTTGAATTACTGTTTTATAGCCCACAGCACAGGGAATGTGCTTACTGCATGCTTCTGACAATTACGAAGCCGTTTAGAAGAGGAAGTTTATACAATAATATTGTATTTGTCAATATTCTTTTCTAGCTGACTTAAGTTGTTTCTCTTTTCAGCAACCTGTTTACTAAAAATTCCATTTGCTCAAATGCATTGTTTCAGATTACCTGTGTCAGTAGACAATTCTTAGCTTTTGATAATAAATTTTTCAGAAGTCTTTGAGAAAGTGATTACAAAAATCAGTTGTACACTTGAAATTAAAAAAAAAAATAAAAAAAAAGGAAAGAGGGTTGTGCAGCTGAACAGGTAAAATGTACACAAGACTCAGCTACCTACTTAGCCTTAAATGTAAGCATTACCTGAACTTACAACACCCTATTACTTGTTTCAGATCAGCTATCCAACAATTTTTCAGGTGGCCTAATTTGTAACAGAGCTCAGCAGCAACAGTTCCTATTTATTTCAATAGGTGTTGCGTAATTCAACAGCTTGCAAGATTGGACTAGCAGTGTTTAAGAATGGTCACTGCTAGCTGCTTCATGTACTTTTCTGCTTTGGGTAGATAGTAATGTTAAGCAAAGAAGATCAGAAATGCATTAAAAATCTTTTGTTATCCCTTTAGACCCTTTAGCATTTTGGTATTTCTGGGTCTTGAATATTTGTCTCCAAGACATCATGCTGCTGTCCTCCATTATTTGTTTCAGTAGTGGTGTTTCTGCTTAGCATTTTATTCTTGCTGTATTTATTAGGAGAACGAGTAAATAAAGTACCCAATGCAACAAATTAATTGTTTTTTATGTTTAGGTTATGGTCTCCTGTTTTATTTTCATCCAAATAACAATTCTTATCTTCTCTTTCCACTACCTAATTTATATTGCTCCCATTTACTTTTGTAGATTCTTCATGCTCCTTAATACTCTCTTGTTTTTCTTAAAGAAAAGTAAGAACACATTACCTCAGTCTTTAGTCGAAGTAAAACCATCCAGGTCAGTGGCTCTTATATGCACGTTGCTGACTATGACTGTAGCCACTCTGGGTAGAGGTAGCAGAAGCTGCAGTAGCAACAGCTTTCCGTGTTGGCCAGGACAATGTGTTTGGCTATTCAGGGATTATTTAGGCAGCGCTTTGCTACAGCACACATGTATTAGAATTTGGGAATCTCAGTCTAGGTCATCTTCAGTCCAACACGGCTTCCAAGAGCATGTATCCTTTTCTGAGCACCTCAGAAGGCTGAATCCTGATCACAGCATTTCATTCTTAGATTTAGGATTCCTGGCTGTCACCTGTGAGGGAGGAAAACAAACTTTTGAATTACTTTGAATATATGTGCTTTAACACTTAGTCAATTCATTCTAATGTTCTAGGAAAAAAAAAAAAAAAAGAAAAAAAAAGGCGGGGGGGTGTTCATCTACATGATGTGTTAAAAGTAACTAAAAGTAACTTGGTTTGAGACATATATACCTGTGTTTCTTTAACCCAAAGAATATGGAAGCAGTGGCCCTCGTTATGATTTAAGTTATAGTAAAGTATTTTTCATCAATGCAGTTATTTTAGAATATTCCAACATTCCTTGAAAGCTATGAAGCAAAGAACCCTAAGAGAGGGCACCGTGTGTTTTATAGTACTGCCTACTGAGAGACTTAAGCATGAAAATAACCAGCATACCTATTTTTTTTCAACAAATCCATTAACTGTTATACAATAATCACATCCTACATTCTTTAAAAACTAATTTTTCAAAGAACAGCTTAGTGGTATGCTGTGTTCTTACGTAACAGCTACAGAGAATACATTTTCTTGTGCTGTGTCCTGGGGTAAGCTCATGCCAAAGTTATTACAACAATTCTATAGCTGAACAGTAACAACAACTCACCTTCTTTTTTCAGTCAGTTGTTTTTTACTGAGCTTTGTTATTCCAAATATACTTTTCCGCTGGCAGCTTTTATACCAGAAAGCCTTCGAGGAGTGGGAGTAGCTCTTTAAATTTGTCTGGAAGTAGCGTGGTTTCTTCTGCCTCGCCTGCTACTGCTGCTCACATTCTTTCATTTCCAGGTAGTAAGAGCTATTAATTTGTCATGTTTTTATTAAAAGGCAATACACGTTATCCCACAATTTGCAACATAGTATCAGTCTCTGTCACAGTCAACATTTACTTCCTCTTAGAACATGCAATTTGTGTATCAATATGTTTCCCAGTATTTTGGGAAACGTTACTTGACACTAAGTATCAGAATCCTATTTATCTTGTAGCAAGTTCTAAAAAGAAGTGAAATTAACTCGTTACCCAAAGACAGACAGATTCTCACAGGTTTTCCTATGTTCCACACCTTGAGAGACATATCAGACACTCATTGGAACATTATATTTTTCTGCCAAGTTCATTTCTCTCTTGTGACTAGTGATAGGGAAGCATGGAATCTCCTTTTTTAATTTACACCTTAGCCTAAATTTATTGAAAAGGCACCTCTTAGTTCCAGAGTCATGCACGTGAATTCCTCAGGTTTGTGAACCTGGTTTTTTTCAGTTGCTCATCATTTTCTAGAATTTCTCTCAAAACATTCTGGACTCAGTTCTCTGGGACACGAGCAATGATGATGAAAGAACACACTAGTGTAAAGACTGAAAACACAATAAAAATACTTGAAGCTAAATTTTAAGAGATCAATTAGATATATATTGTCTGCTGTAACATGTAATTCTCAAAATAAATCTTAAAATTTTCCTCACCTTTCCTAATCAGAACATCTGTTCTCCTAAATAACGAGAGCTATTAAACTTTGAGTAGTTGCTTGCGGAACTGAACTCAAAGCAAGGAGCAATCCTTTCTTTTCTGATAGTTGTTGTCCAAGCACAGCCGAGCAGGAACCGGGCCAGCTCTGGGATTCCCATGAAGACCGAAGGCAGTTTCAGGCCGTACAGACACCACATCCACCGGCCCATGGGAATGCACAGCAAGCTACAGCACCCCAACGTAACCCAAGGCACACGCTCCAGCTCCCAAGTTGCTTCACCAAACAAACCGGCAGGGCTGCTTTTAGCCACAAAGCCGGGTGGCTCCGTAGCGCGGCGCAGCACCCGGCGCTCCCCAGCCGCCCCTTCCAACAGAGCACACACAGAGCATCCCGTTGCCAAGCCTCTCCCCAGCTTCCGTTTCACATTTCAGTCTTCCCTGCTATTTAAGATCAGTTACCCAATACCACATCTCACCAGCAGAACGAGGACTGTGGCGCCTGCCATCCCGCCCTGGATCTGCTCTGCCCCCTTACTATTCACAACAGGACATCCCATGATCCATAAAGCTGGAGCTGCCTCCAGGGTTCTCAACTATGCCAGGGACACCGCTTGCTTAACAGGTTCTGTAACAGAACTTTGCATGAAGATGCAAATATTGTAATAGGCGAAACTACTTTTTATATTCCCTGTAAGTGAATTAGCACGTTAATGGGCTGGACGCTGTGCCTCCCACTTTTACTCCTACACATCTTGCAGGTTATAAAAAACTATCATTAATCCTTCAAAAAGACATGAAACACAAATATTCTTCTCCAGTCAGTATTCATTTGCAAGTTTGACAGCATTCACGTCCTTACAAGAGATACCTGTAGCACAGCACATAAACACAATGCACAACCCTTCATTCAGTTCTTTTGAATTTCCAGTGCAATTTTTTTAGTTGTTCTTCCGTAATGTTTCTATGAGGTGAGCGGAACAATTTTCCCAAAAAGTAAAACCTGCTGATTTAATTTTGTCAGGAGCCTCATTGCCCTTTTTAATTATACACATAAACATACAAAAACGTTAGGTTCTAATGCCCATCCTAAGTTCCTTCCCTTAGAACAACTAATCAGCACACCTGATGGCAACAGGAGGGATGCTGGGAACATAGGAGGGTACCAGTGAGGGCTGATTACTGAGGGACACGATACTGGAATGATACAGGCTGAGGATTCAGTTTTCCTGTGAATATCACATGGATGTGAGGGTGACAGAAAGCAGGAACACACGGAGGCTGTACGGGGTTGGGGCATCAGCCTGTGATACACAGGGGAAGCGAGAAAAAGACTCCATGGATGGTGTGGAAGCCTGCAGAGCTTACCTCTGACTCCACTGAAAGTTGCCCCGATCTCCTCCGCAGAGACTGCTTCAAAGGGTGAAAACCACTAGTTTAGAAGAAGGGAAATTTGTAAGGGTTTTTAACAGAGAAGACAACAGGGAGAGTTACTCCAGGAGGTAACTCGTATCACACATTAATCAAGGGGATCTCCCTGAAGATGGCCAAAGCATCCGATTATGCTGCTCGGTAGAATGTGCCCATCTTACTACTAATATAATTAATCCTATGTTACAGTGCTGGTTTTCTCATTCTTGCATGTATTAAATACAAAATCCACTCACCAGCACTGCTAGTGGTGACTCAGGAGCTAACGCTGTGTCACTGGAGCGCCTCTTCCATACAACGTATTTTTCAATGAAATACTCCCCAGTCACTGATTCAACGTTCAATTATTGCAGTGTAGTAGATTCTAGCTGATTTCCATTGAATTAGTTATTACGTGCCAGTAAGCCTCCTGTTCTTTAAAAATGTATTGTATTATTTTCTTTTCTCTTTTTCCACACGCCCAATCTTCCAGCCACTCCTTCACCAGCACACACGTTGCCTCCACGCTCTGTTCAGAGACAGACTTTCTATTTTTCACTGAATATTTGCAAAGGGCTGAATTTCCACACGTGACTGGTAATCAGTCCTGTATGTGAAGTAAATGCAATAAAAAGTTTAAGAAAGGTAAATGTACTCTGGCAAGTGCTCGTTCCTCTTTAGCGTCTGTTTCCCATCGTGGATTTTGTTTCAGTGGGCCAGAAACGCATTTAAATCTTCCTGTATCTTCAGAAGGTTATTTATATATTGGGACTGGATCAACGCCCATTTCTTCATCTTTCTGTCATTCATTAATTCTTTTCCAGCAATAAACTAGTGTAAAAATATGAATTACTGGTGAACCTTAAAAAGTAAAATTATAAAAAAAAGCTGCAGAATATAACTAGTCACAGTGCACAGTCAAGAAAAATTGCGATGTCCGTTGCACTGGATGTGAACCCTGGGTTTTCACCCTTGTAAAAAAAAAAAATCAAATGGCTTTATATATATATATATAAAAATCATTATCAAATACTGACTTTGAAGTAGAGAAATAACTGATACCACTAACAATGTATCAGGGGCTGAGATGACTTTCTTACAAAGGCAGTTCCTACGTAGCTGAGACCTGGGCAAGAACCTGCTTCAGGCGCTGTTTGCCTTTGTAAGGCTCCATGATGAAAACACTTTCTTTCAAAAAATATTTCATTTATAAAAAAAACCAAACCCATTAGCTTAGCTTACTAAGTAAACCCCTAAACAATGCAATTTTGACATTCATTTATCAGTACTAACCTGACCTTACTTTTTTCTATCCTCGAGTGTTAAAATTAAACTGCAGCCTCTTACACTCCCTGTTTGTGCTGCCACCTCCACTGCGGAGGGTTTGGGTTTTTTTTTTAATTTCAATCTGTTTTGGGTTGGTGTTTGTTTTTGGTTTTTTTGCCTGTTTTCTTTGAAACCATCATTGTTAACATCATGAAATTCAGTAAGTATACTCAGGCAGAAACTCCTACCCGGACAAATGAACAAAAGAAAACACCCAAATCAAAACCAGTTTGGGGCATGCTTCTTACTAAACCAAACCAGAAGAGCTCCAGAATTCTTAATGCAATCCACAAACAGGCACTTCCCTTTTGGCCAATAAAGTTTTACATCTTTTTGCCAGTGGTGAACTTTGCTTTTAATATACCGTATATTTCCCTGATGCTTTGGGAAGCTAACAGCAAAGAGCAACAACTGCTGCAGTTTAACGACGTTATTTTGACTTTTGATATAACACAAGCACAGACACACACGTATTAATTACCTTCTATCCTTCTCATCACAACGGTAGCGCAGAGGGAAGAAGGGAGCCTCTCTCTTCCCATCCTGTACTTTGCTGCTGTTTCCATCTGCTCTCAGAGGCTGTGAGCAACTCTTCCTCCTACTTTACTAAGAGTTTGCTTAAACATTGCTCTTGGACATCTTCATTTTCTTACGTCAGCTGGTTTCCTTACGACTGTTTCACAAGAGAGCCTGTGTGTCGTTATCCGAAGTGCTTATCTAAAATAAGCATTTCCTCCTGCTTGTGACAGAGGCAAGCTCCTGCTAATTTATGATTTTCTACGGGGACTTCACCGATAGGGGAGATGTACGTTATATTCCTGGAGTTCCAACAGTATAAAATAACACATACTATTATGTAATAAAAGGATGAAATTAACAGAACATACCCTGAAACATTACAATCAAAATGCGTAGTGAAATCATTTTTTCCCCCCACTTACAAGAAGCCAGTACTTCAGATTCAGTCCTTCAAGTGCCTGTAGGTGCCCAATGCCACACTGAAACCTCACAATCATTACAGGTATCGTGCTCGTAAAACTCTTGGCCTCTAAACACACTTTTTTTCCAAAACCAAAGACCCAGATTATTCACCGGAACAAAGAAAGGAATGAATCTGTCAAGCAATAGGAGCCTGCTCTTAATTTTAAAATTATTTCTATAGCTTAGACTAGGAAAAATAAAAGACATTTAAAAACGGATATTCCTTAAATCTTAGGCTGCTTTTCAAAAAATCTGTTCACTATTCTAAGCACTTTTCTTCTACTAAAATTTTTCAGTGACCTAAATACAAATGAGCACATAGAAAAACATCTCAAAATCAGGGTCAATCATGGAAGTTACTTTTACCAGCACTAGCTTATGTAGTCCATTACATTCTCTTTTTCCTCATTAATTTTTATTAAGTCCTGCTATTTTTTTTTTTGGTTTCTGGGTATCATCAGTTTTAATTACTATTTCTTTTTTTTTTTTTGCTGAGTTTGAATATTTTTAATCTATTCCTTTTGTCTCCTCTTACCAAATGAAAGTAAAGAAACTAACTTAATTTTTGACATAGTATATTTACCATACGGTTGCAATCCTCTATATAACTTAAAAGCAAATAAAAATGTATTTTAAATTAGATTGACGTGTGTAGAAAAAAATAAAGCTGAGGAAACTGAAGCAGGCTAATCATAAAGAAGACTAATAGCCTAATTACAAAGCTTATCATAAAAAAGAAAAGTGCAAGAATAAACATAAAAACTAAACAGAAGAAAAAAAATCAACTTGTTTTCTTATCCAGACAGGCAGTCACATTTATACCGTTAAACATTTCACAATATCTGTACATCTGACATACAGCTTCTTGAGACCTTGGCTTGTTACTTCGCCATTACTGAAGACTTTTTTTTTTTTTTTTTTTTGGACTCTACCGTCCTTCTGCTTGGGTTAAATATTCAAGATCAGCACACATCACACATAATCTTATCCCAGATATTAGAGTCATTAGTCTTTCATTCTACCCACGTTGACAACATGATGTGAACAACAATCAGTAAACATAATATCACTGATAATTGTTTAGGGAGGCCATAAGATGCAGGGCATAAAGCACTGCTGGCAACAATAGTACCCCATAAAAGAACCTTAAAATCTAGCACAAAGTATGCTGAACTACAGCCAATGATGTTGAATAACTTTTAAAAAATATTCAAAGTATAGACAAGACCTAGGTCTATTCCACCAACTACGTTTAAGGAAGTCATCTGTCTCTAATTTGTTTCTCGACCCTCCATATGATATGAAGCAATGATGCAGAAATTCTTTCAACATTGACCCTTTTTTTAAGTTCTTGAGCTGCTTACACAACATTGGCAAAATCTTAAATTTTCTCCAAAAGCAGAGGTTTGAACCTACAGTGGAAATTAGAAATTTATTTCAAATAATCTCTGTACTCAACAAATGCTAAGTTTTGACAAATACTAAGAAGTTACACATCAAATTCTTAACTGGTAGTATGCTGCCATTTCTAGCTTAAGCAATAAAAAGGAAAAAGATAGGGAGTGTGGGCGTGGAGAAAAGAAGAGATATCCTGATATCTGCCTGGAACAATCTCTGCCCCCCTTGGAGTTCCTTTGTTTTGGCTTGTTTTGTTTTGAGCTGCAAGAACTCTGCAAATGGGTGTTCCCAGCTTCTGGCAGCCATATGTGCTGCCCACCATCTGTTTTCATTCCACTGTGCTATGGAGACAAACATACTTTATTTTTAGTGCTCTACATTTCCTGATGTTGCACATAATAGGGATTATATCCCACGTCTAAGCCGCTATATGTGAAACATCTTCCGTGGATAACTGATGAGCAAAGGCGGCAGATTATTACCCAGGATCAGATGAGATAATTTTCATTACCCACTCCTCGGCGCAAGTCTATAATTTATACTGCAGTTTGGTTGATTCCTGTATACCCGTGCTTTCTCTCTGCACTGCCTACAAGGGGCTTCCTTCATATGTTTTAAAGCAACTTCCTGGGGTGTAGGAAATTACTACTAGGATTTCATGGGTCGCCATTAGTGGTTGCTATTCTGCAAGCAGCATTCGGAGTCACAACAGGATATGAAGAACTAAACAGCCTCGTGGTCAACTGCAGAGGGACAACAATGCAGTACAACAAATATTTGTTTGAAAGGAGGAGTTCTGCACACAGGCTCCCACACAGCTCTGTTGGAAATCACGCCCTCCAAAATTAGTTTGCTAGCATTAATTAGATAGTGTAGCATTTATATAAAATTTGATGGAAAAGATTTCACTGTTACATCTCAGCGCAGCTTTGGAAGGTGCCCATGGCACACCGGACAGCTAGTAATTCTTTAAAGTGCACCAGACTAAACTGAATTCTAGAATTTTCACCTCTCCTATGAGGACAGGCTGAGAGAGCTGGGGTTGTTCAACCTGGAGAAGAGAAGGCTCCAGGGAAACCTTTGAGCGGCATTTCAATATCTGAAGGGAGCCTACAGGAGAGCTGGAGAGGGACTCTTTGTCAGGGAGTGTAGTGACAGGACAAGGGGCAACAGTTTTAAATCGAAGAGGGGAGATTTAGATTAGATACTAGAAAGAAATTCCTTACATTGAGGGTGGTGAGACACTGGAACAGGTTGCCCAGGGAAGTCATGGATGCCCCATCCCTGGAGGGGTTCAAGGCCAGGCTGGATGGGGCTTTGAGCAACCTGGTCTGGTGGGAGGTGTCCCTGCCCATGGCAGGGGGGTTGGAACTAGATGATCTTTAAGGTCCCTTCCAACCCAAACCATTCTATGATTCTAAAACATTTCTGGTTTTACCTATATTGACATTAAGCCATACATTTCTAGTCTCTTTCAGTCTCTAGTATCTTTTTCTTTCCCCATTTAACCTCCCCCTCCTCAAACTTCTAAGCTTTTTTTTAGCTGCAGATGCCCCGATAAACATCTCCTACAACTCCAGCAGTATCATATCATTGCCAGCATACCTTTTATATCCAGACTTCTAGGGCACGTTGCAGCACAGACCTTTCCACCATATAACATCACAAATTCAGGACACCTTAAGTTACTATTAAGGAACTATTGATGAGGAATTACTTCTGGTTTCAAAAAATAATTAATAATTGATTAAAAATTGCACTGAAATAGAGATCCGAGAAAGTTAATGCCTTTAAAACAGCTTATGCATGAAGAGATTCAAAATGTTCCCTGTTTATAGGGTACTCCAAAAGACACCTGAAGGTGTTGCATTTAACTTTTTCAGATTAGTTCTATTCTACCCTAAAATAAGCACTTTATTCATTGCATGTGATCTTACAAATACAGAAGTACTTCTTAATTAATTAGACTGGCAAGTCATTTCTCAATCTTTTTAATTCAGTCAAACAATTTTAATAATGGACTTCAACTACTCTACTGTTTAAGTGGAGGATTTTATTAAGTTATCTACAGCTATTACTCTTCTCCCAGAGTTTCTGAGTAAAGTTGTGAGAAAATTACTTTTATCTTACTACTTTTAAATTTATTCTGCCTTCTGCTTTCATATTATCAAATGCTGTTAAGCTGTTCTGCAATTCCTCAGTCATCTATTTTAGGTAATACAACACAAGAAATAATTTCTGTCTTAAAGCAGCATCTTTCTCAGCTATCACAATTATGAAGTGAAAAATTTTTGTTGACTGGTGTCACCTGCTGTTTCTTTTTGCCTATTTTCTTTCAGCATAGTATGCAGATTACTCTAGAATAATTTTCTGTTGGGTTCCCACTCAAAAATCTTAAAACTAGCATTTAGCTGAAACTAAATATAGGAGGAGTTTTGAATGGAGACTGGCAAATTCACTTTGCATTAGTCAAGTACCGATGAATACCCTTCTGCACAGTTCCCCATCACTGTGTTGTTCTGTACCAAGGGAGTGACACCACCTCTTTCTAATTCCCCTCATAAACCGTCTATTTACATTCTGAAGCAAAGTATATCATCCATCATACATCATTCTGTCACCCCCGAGCTGCCATAATCACTACCTTTTAAGATGCCTATGGCATTATTTTGATGCCTACGCTCAATGTGCATATGCAGTTTCCTAAAAAAATCGGAATAGTCTTATATTTGTTTAGATTTGTTGAGAAAGGTCAGCAAACATTTATTTCAATGTAAATTATTTTGACAATCATTTCAAATCAATACAACAGTTGGAAGGTTCAGGAAAAAGAACATAAAGCTTGAAAAAACACTCACCTTGAGAGCATCTTCCCTAATTTTCACTTATTTTAAAATGAAACTATATTCTGTACTTTGCGTTATAGTCCTATAATAGAAAATTTCTTGTACAGTCCAGCCATAGCCTTCCTCCAGTTCTCTGATAAAGACTATCTAATCTGAACATTCACTCCATACTTTATTCACAGCACTTCTATATCTGACATCTCCTGGGTGGCAGTTTTTATTATATTCAATGAAAATAAATTTAAACACTGCATTAATGAACAGAAAAATTGTATATGCTTTTACATAAATTTGGGAATAGTATTGAAAGCAACTCAAGACAATAGCTTAAAAAGTGATTGCAACCTAGACGCTTAATCTTTTAAGAAGTGGGCAGATCTGATTTTATATTATTAAAAAGCATTTATAATGAATAGCATTTTTTTTTCATAGAAAAAAATGTGATGTTCTTACTCAGTTTTAAGTCTTAGTTTTATATCACAGGCCACGACAACTTTAGGTACATAATGAACACTTCTTTCAAAATTAGTTTAATTTCCTAGCACACCATCATATTTCCAAACGTTTCTAGGTCTTAAATTCAAATTTAATACTCTAGATAAGTTACAAGACCATTTCAAGATTGCTTCAAAATTTATCTTAATTTCAGCTCTTCTGGTTACTACACAAGTTTGTGTTTTTCTTTTAAAATACATTTAATTCTTTTAAAATACTAGAAGTATTCTAGTATTAAAATTAAATTCTAAATCAAATTAATTTAAAATTTAAAATTAAAATTCGAGTATTAAAAGAATTAAAATTATTTTAAAATACTAGAAGCATTCTTTAAAATATTTTATAACATCACAAGCATCTGTTTTAATCAGAAAATGGATTTCAAGCTGGTTTTCCAAGAACCAGATTATAAAAAGAAAAACAAACAAACCAAAAAAAACAGCAAGCCAACCCTAAAACTCCAAATTAAAATTAATTACAATTGCTTTGTGCTGTTACGATCATGTTTTGCTTCCTAAAAATGGTTTTCTTTTCATCATAAGTTTTAAGGAAATGATATTTAATGATTCAATCTTTTAATTTTGGTGTTTGTTTTTAAAGTGAAGAGGTTTTCATTGTGATGTTTACCTATTCAGTACACCTGCAGTTTCAAGTTGGTTAAATGGAAGCAGTGAAACGGGAAATAAGCTGCCAACAGGACGGACGGGAACTGCCAACCAAATCTTCCTGTTGCATCCATGGTATAACCTCTTCAAGGAATCCAAAGAATATCTCTTCAGTTCAGGCTCTCAGAGGTCACTGAGTTTTATAATTATCTCCAAGCAATTCTCTCCACATCCTGCTAAGCTCTCTCTGAACAGCTGTGTGTGCTGCCATGCAGCATCGCCATCCCCTCCATTTAGAATTGCTTCCAACGTTACTTCTGTTGCACCAGAAAAATCTGAATAGGAGCAAAGATTTTTATCTGTTGGAGGAAAAGATAAACAATTCAGTAAGCCACTGCTCCAAACGGTGTATAATGCTAGAATGCACATTAGAAAGGGTTAAGTTGTAGTGAATATTTAAGGATCTCAATTGCATCTACTCAAATTCATGTCAACCAGTGGCAGAAGAAAAAAAAAAAAAAAAAGAAGGCCAGCTGCAAATTTTTAATTATTATTTGCTTAGGACTCATGCTCAGAGGACCTAGTCAAGATTGAAGCCGCTGCACATAGAAACATGTTTTCCCAGTAAAACACACAGGTATCTTCTATCCATTCTGTGTTCTTGCAAACCCTGCTCCGTTGCAGGAAGGGCTGTGTATATTTATAACACTGGGGTTTGTAACAGTTTTGATTAAATGTGCAGTATTTTCTTGACCTTGCTAAGAAAGACTGAGCTGGAAATGTCAAAACGCATTTGCATTTCATTTTTAGTATTTGCACAGCGCTCTCCCCATATAAACTATTTATTTCCAGTTACACTTTTGCTGCATGATATAATCCATTATTTAAATTCCACACTTACCCCCTATCAGAGCAATTTCTGCTGCTGGAGAGCAAAGTCGCCACTTTATTCTTCCACTCTGAAAGGTCTGACTGCTTGTCCTAACTGAAATGTTATCTATTTTTAGACCAACTGATTTGCACTCAAACTTCCAGCTGATGGAAGCAGAGGATGACCCCTCTTTTCGGGCTAAATAAACCTAGATGGAAAGAAGACATAGTCAGCATGTCACAAACTGGTATGATCAACACACATGAACAATCATTGCAGCAATGACATAAAATCTGAAGATAACACACTTTCATTCTTTATCAAGCCTCTGAACCTTTAAAACTGTATTTTGTTTATAATATGTCTCATTCTGAATCCTTAAGTCTGTTCCACAGTTAGATAACTGTACATGGTCGTAGTTTTTCACTAGGGAACACCAATCTATTTCAACATGCTTGGTACAGTCTAAGCCACAAAAATACCTGTTTATTATTTAAAAAAAAAGAAGCAGACTTTTTTTTTATACTAATGCACAGACCCACACATGTTATCATTTTGGTTGTTCCGTATTGCTGATGAAGAAGACTGTATAATCAGTATTTCAGTTCTTCAGATGTGTCTGCTGGCTGCACACCACTTCTCCTAGGTCTTGACATGTCTTGGTTAAAGCAAATCAAACACACTAGCCATATATAAATCCTGTATTAACATTATTTGAGCTGTTAGCGATTTGCATAATTCAATGTAGTCCCAACGCTCTTCTAAATTCCACCTGGATGAACAGTCAAGCTCAAAGGTTAATATTCATTAAAGTTACTGCTAACCCTCATAAGAATTTTGTAGTAAGCATTCAATGACCCTTTCAAGTCCAGCATCTTTTAGCAGCAAACCAAGGTAACAGACGTTACAGACTAAAGAGTCAAAACTGCCATGATCCTTTCAGAATCCTTAGTTAAGAAAACTTATCAAAAATTTTGTCATGTCCAGGCTTCTGATTAACATCATACTGAATGCCCTTAGACAGCTCCTTAGTTTTTAATCTAGAAAGAATAACCCTGAATAAAATGTCAATAAAACACAGTAGAATGTTTTACTAAAGATCACACTCTAATACAGAAATGTCATTGACAGACTACAAAGCAGAATTTTAGTCCTACTATGGACCAAGCATAAAAATGTTAATTCTCATGTTTAAGAGGGCTAAATAAAGGTGCGAGGTGTTACACTGAAGATTACCTGTGAAAATATAACAATTTAATCTGCTTTCATGTGAATATAATCTTAATGTTCATGAAAGTACTGATCTCCACATAATTTTTTTAAGTACCTCAGCTAGTTCTAGCAAGAGATTTGCCTTGATCAGATGCTACTGACAGGACACAGAGTAGTAAAATGAGAGGGGAACAAAGCAATGCTCAGTCCCACAGCTGGTAGCTGTTGCAGGAAAAGCCCTTTGCTAGCAAATGACCCCTTTCCCTCTTCCAGGCATCAGTTCTCCTCTCAGATTTAGAGCATATGACTCTTCTGCTGCTCAGTCTCCTGACAGATGGGAAGGAGTCTGGGCAGGGTATAGAATAATCCACGTAACTGGCAGGTTTTTTGCCTTCTTGCAGATGGAACTGTAATGTTTAGGATGACAATTTCTTCCTTTGGCTGTGTATCAAAGAGATATGGTACACTATGAAGCTATTCTCCAAAACAAAACAAAAAAAACCCAAAATAAATATTTTGGAGAGAAGTTCTGCTTTTCAATAAAACAGTATTGTGTGTTGACCAAAAGCATAAGTAGTAGACCATTTTAAAAAAATTTAATTTTTTAGCACGGATTGTACCTATCTGCAAAGAATTTGGTCATCCTTTCTGAAAGACAAGCTAAATTTATTTCCAATTTTTTAATTCTGGTGATCTTACCTGAAACTTAACAGTAACATTTACTAACATCAGCTAAGTTTTATAACCAGCAATAGAAGGTTTGATGACAACCATTGGCAAGAGTTTTCTATTTTACTGGAGTTACCGTACTTTTACAGTAGATTTTATGCTTTTAATAATTATTAACCTTACCATTTTCCAATCTGTTTCAACCTTTCTCCAAATAGACTCTGCCTTCCAAACACCTGTTTCCCAGCCAGTTATTTTTTCATTATTATTGGAAATCCGTGTATAACTATCTTCTACTATATTGTAGACAAGGTGGAAGAGTTTAGATGTCTTCTCTTTTTCAGAGGGAATAAAAATCACTTCTTTCCTTTTCTGAAAAAGGCAAAAAATGAAAGCGCCTTTATTCCCCCATACATCTGAGTAAGACTATGTTAGTTTTAAACAGCACACCATGGTTTCCCAATTCAGTTTTGCTTCCAACTGAAAAAAGTTATTTTTAAGAGAGGTCATGGAGAAAAGCATTTCTGCAAAACAAAAGTTTTAAACCAGTTTCCTACAATAGACCTACACCATTTGCAGAGGGAAGCAGTAGTTTTTTTTAAATTTTCATATAATTATTGTTATAATTACTAACAAAATAACAAAATTAGCAAATTTAAGTGAGAGTAACATTAGGAATAGAAAATTTATATGTTGAGTATATTTCTTGTACAATCAATAAGTAAATGGCTATTTTGAACAGCAAATATAATTTTGTAAGTATCATTAGGTGCTTGTATATGACAGTTTACAAATCAACTTAAAAAAACTGAAGGTATACACTTCCACACTTCGTAACTTCACAGGATTAGCTTTTTTTTTTTTTTAAGATCTGTCATTGTTCTTATAAGTTTCATCAAAGCAGAAACTAAATCTTCTAAACTATGGAGAACTGAAATAAACTCTTAGTTTCTCAAACTCAAACAATGCTATGAAACTCATTAATGTCACCTGACTGGTTCTATTTGGGATTGTCAGTCATTCCACATGACAGGATCACTACAAAACTGAAGTAACGAGTGATGGGGTAAGTCACACCTTTGCATGCTGGCTATAGTTCTGGGAAACTGTAACTTAGCATAAAATAATTGAAAATAAAATCTTGTTTTCAAAAATAGTCAGAAACATTGATATGAAAAACGAATCAAGCTTATGATTTAAGAGATTGTTCCATTTACATAATCCTAATTGCTCCCACATTCTTCTATTAACAAAAATAGATGGTCAAAACCTTCTTAGTAACCAATAGTAACTAATAATACAAATAAACATTATTTGAAGTTTTCCCAACTGCCTTAAACTTTCTAGTTCTGTAACTAATATTGTGTCCAGTTTCGGACGCCTCAATACAAGAGAGATATTGAGGTGCTGGAACAGGTACAGAGGAGGGCAATGAAGTTGGTGAAGGGCCTGGAGAACAGATTATACAAAGAGCGATTGAAGGAGCTGGGACTGAGGGATCATATCCCTCTCTACAACTACTTGAAAGGACATTGTAGAGAGGTTGGTACTGGTCTCTTCTCACAGGTAATTAGCAATAGAACAAGAGAGAATGGATTCAAGCTGCAACAGGGTAGGTTTAGACTGGACATTAGGAAAAAATTCTTCACAGGAGTGGTCAGACACTGGAATAGGCTGCCCAGGGAGGTGGTTGAGTCAGCATCCTTGGATAAGTTTAAAAGTCGTTTAGATGTGGTGTTGGGGGATACTGTGTAGGGGAAAACTTTGTAGAGTAGGGTAGATGGTTGGGTTCGATGATCCCAAGTGTCTTTTCCAACCTAGCTGGTTCTATGATTCTAATTAAAAGGGAAAAAAAAATATTTCTTGTTAAACCACACTTTAGATCAACAGACCACCATCAATCCTGAAAAATTACTTGTGGACCTCTACTGAGTCCACATCAAACTTGCACTTAATGTTTTTGCAAGTTTAACTGTTTGAACTAAGTCTGTAGGCTACCTACCATGAAGTGCTATTCCTCTGCAGGCCATAATCACAGAACCTCTAGTTAGCTACCTCCCTCTAAGATAGTCACAAGTGCAAAAGTTAAATACCTCTGGACCAATTTCACCCCTGGCTACTCGCCAAGCCATTGAACCTGATGTCCTTCCACCATATTCTCCAGGTTTAGGTTTTTTAGGAGAAATAAATTCAACAAGCTCCACAATCGTTCTTTCCAAGAGCTCTCTTCTTCTATTTTCTGACAAAGATCGTTGTCTCTGAAAATACATTTAAGAAACAATGTCAAAAATTCAGAAAAATGGTATTAGCAATTCTGCTCTAGAGTGACACCAACTGGAAAAAAAAAAAAGAACTGAAAAAACAGAGTAACATTTAAAGTCTAGACTTACTGTTAGAAACATTCATTTTATACCACACATGCAAATAATAAATCAGACATAATTGCATAGTTATTTGACAGCAGTGCTTTTTCTGTGAACTTCCATGCACCATGTGGATTTCCTTTAAAATAAGGTTTGTGCTATGTTTATAATACATTTGCTTAGATGATAAAACACTTCTGTAGCATATTTTATAGCTATTCATATGTATTCTGAACCATAGCTGTTCTTGGTATTATTTGGGGGAAAGAGAAAGCAAGCATAACTTTTGGGTCAAACTTTTCTTCTCTAAGGTGGAATGATTTGTTTGGCAACAGTGCTGGTTTTGTGATTAAGTCCAAACAAAAGATTCAGTTGGTCTCTTTCAGAGATATTTCACAGCAACTGATTCTGCCATAAACAAACTATGATATTCCTATTTTTGCAGATATAAGAAAACTGAGAAAAAACATATCACCTATGCTTCCCGGTAAATTAGTGGAAAAGAGAAAGAATTATATAACGTCTTCTTTGCCCACATGAATAAAACCATTTTTTTTGGTATACAACTTCAAAAAAATTCATCGAGAGGCCAGGGTTTTGGCTCCATGATTTTCATGTCAAATACACAGAGCTGATATGTGAAGACTTTTTCCTTAACTGTGGATACACCCACACAGGGTTGGAAAATTAAGTTCAGCATTGAGTACGTGAATGATTACATATCATAACTTTTTTCTACTGTAGTGATTGCCCAAGGCATGCACACTCAGCCCACTAGCACCTGAAGCTTCAGGCCAATAAGTATTTCAATTATCTCAAAAGCAGTCCTGATCCCAGAAAGTTTTGCTATTCAGGATCAGAAAAGAGGCGTTTGAAGGCGTTTTGTTAAAGACAACAATATGGGACTGGATAATGGGAAGTAGATGCAGAGAAATTATGAGAAACAGCTCCAGCTCAACAAACTCCAGCTGCCAAATACCAGTTCTAACACAGCAAGGGGGAAACACCTTTGCTTGTGTTGATGGATGACAAGCAGACTGACTCCAGCAGTTCCTCATGAAACACCAGGCCTTCCTGAATCTAACACTTGCCTGGGCACTTTGGATATCCACATGCAGTGCTACAGATCTCACTCCAGCTCAGAGGAAGTTTGATATGGCTCACCCTAAGCTAACAATACCAGACTATCGTTTTCTTCAAGACACTTTGATGTGGGGAAACCCAGCGCCAGGGGTGATCACCACTGGAAACAGCGATGCCACACTGGGAATTAGCTCCGCAGCTGTTGTAACAGTAACTGGAAAAAAACCCTGTGAAAGAATGGTGCTTCAACACAAAAGGGGTGTTTTATAAGACAGGCCTCATCTATGTTCGATACAAGAAATTAGTTAAGTTCCTCAACTGTAAAGAGTGCAAGTATCCTAATTCTTGTCATCTCCCAATACTCCTAGTAGACTCTTGCATACAAATGCTAGCAGCACGTTAGACATACGATAATGTTCAAATGCTGCAGAGATCAACACTGCCTGTGCTGGGAAAAACCTCTTCTCTATGTTTCCTACAAATGACACTGGCATCAATAGCATTCATGTACTGGAATACATTCCAAGAACTCTATTATCAACTACCATGGCTCAAACTTCCTGCTTTTATTTTTTTCTTAAGGTATTACCCTCTAATAAATGCTCAGGCCTCACCTTTCTTTGGCAGACAGAGGGAACAGGAAAAGAGGTTGTGAACTCCAGCTTCAAAATAATTTCTGCATCATGTGCGAGTTACGCTGTAGATGCTTCCTGAAGGACTTTGTTTTGGGAGATGGATAACCTGTGATTTACTACTGCTGGGTAAGCAACAGATAATTTGAGGGTAGAAATTGAATTTCAAACCTTTAAACAAGGCATATTAGTTCATCTCACATCAATCACCATGAGATGGTCGCAATTTAAGCTAAATTACTAGCTTTCCGTTTAAGAGCTGACCTGGCTGTAGCTTTAATCATTCACAATCACTATCAAAAACATGGCCTGGAGTAAATAAAAGATAATTTGTTCCCTGCCCCACCACCCAATTTCCAACGAAGACAGTGAAAGTTCAGGGTCTTCTCCCTCCTTTCTATAGGGGTAACATAGAATGGACTGGAATAGGACACTGCCTATTGTAGGCAACATACAATGGACTAGAATAGGGCAGTGCGCATACAAAGCAAGCAAAGAAAAGCTCTGTAGTCAGGGTGTGACGTGGTACTATAGAATAACATCAGATGGTTGGTAATCCACAGGCTACACACCCATTTAGGAATGCCTGATCCAAATGAAACACACACAGTATTTCTGAAAAGTAAAATAGTGTACTGAACAGATTAAAATTATCCTTGCCTCTTCCATTTAACAGTGACAGTCACTCAACATCCTTTGAACTGTTGTGTTGTCTCCGCTTGACCACCAAAACTGACACACTGAGAAATCATCACCGGAGCCGTTGCTCTTCATGCAGAAAAACACAATAACTATCTCTCAGATTCCATTTTCACTAACATTGCAGTATAGGTGATAATGTATACTGCATACTGTGCTTCTCTTTAGCTGTAACTTAAAAGAATTGAGCTTGAATGATGCAGATCATTCAAGATGAAAAGATACCAGACTATAACATAATCCCTCCTTGTGGGGAACCAGTCTCCAGATGATGGGAAAAGGGAGAGGTAGTGGAGGCCTCTGCCTACATGAGTTACCTGCTGAATAGGTTGCAGTGAAGGAAACAGCCCACCAGCTGAAATAGAGACTTGTGACTGAGCAGCACGATGGAAACCTGTTATAACATGTTTTGATGGTTCTAGGGAGGAGCTGCCTTACCCCTCTACTGACTGCAGAAGCTGCTGAATATGACATGGAGATCCTCAGAGAACAATTTTTTTTATGCCCTCTTGATTCCCACTGCATTGTCACATTAGTGCGAACTTAGAAAAGGCCCTTTAACTAAGACAAAGGTAAGAAAAAAAACCTGTTCGTTTAGCAATCCAGTGGCACACTGCCTCTAATTCCCTGAAATCCAATTCCAACAGACAAAAGGAAAAAAAAAAAGGAGTAAGAGCAGTTACTTCCAGGGATTAAATTTATTATCAATTTAGTAAATTAAATTAATCTAACATATTCTGAACAGCTACTGGACAAAAGGAAGCATCTGGGGGAGGAGGGGAGGGCAAGTATCATTTAGTTTGTAGAAAAGAATAAGTTGCTCCTCAGACTAAGATACCATCAAAAAGACTGACAACGGTGTTCTAACAGAGTCACAAGACAGCTTTAGAAATACTGGAAGGCAGCAGAGAAAGCCTGAAACAGAGAAGAAAGGGCTGGGATTTTCCTTGTGTAGAGAAAGGAAGATTGGAGAAATACAAGAGTGTCTTAGAAGCATATATATGGTTTTCTTCCCTATACTAGTTTTTAAATGAAATTTTCATTTTAAACATGACCAGAATGCCTGTTTTTTCCTTATAAAAACCACTCATGTGCTGCACAGTACCTATAAAGTAGATGCAAAAAAAATAAGAAACAGGCCAATGCGCAGCACCATCTGTTGGATACGGCAATGCACCTTTTTTACTGGAGTTCTCTAGACTTATGTAAGTGAAACAGAGCAAGATCCTATGGTGACATCATTGCGGTGAGAAGAAGGTCAGGCAAGCCTGCCCGTGATCAGTAGCCTACACTTTCCTGATTTCAACAATCTAACAATCTTCTCAGAGTAATTTTTCAACTTACTAGCACCTCATTTCTAAGGTTATCTCTCCCTGTGGAGAGCTAGTGGAAGAGAAGAGTTTGGTGACTAGTTTCTATTGCCAGTAGATTAGAAGAAAGGCTCCTCAGATCAGCTTTAGGGTTCCTGCAATCCTGCACAAAGCACACACATTCCTCAGCTTCAATTCCTGATACTTCAACTCCTTTTATTTTGCTATCCTGTGGTCAGCTTTCTCAGTGCTCCACTCTCCTATGTGACTCCAATTTTTCATTACTGATAACACATTTGAAGGCAAGGCTTGAAATCACGAGTCCAGCTCAATTCTTCACACTCCTAGTGTGTGGCTAAAAACCCTCAGCCCTCAAGCCAGCAGGTCTCTAAAAAGGCAAAATCTGTTTATTAAGCCATCATGTATACGCTATCTCAGGAATAAAAGTTTCTATGCACAGGAGTTAGCTCTGGAAGGAAGTGGGGACGAAACAGAACCTGACAGGTGGTTCAAGGTTTTGTGGTATTCTAGTATTATCAAGTCAAGGAAAGTTCACCCCGTCCCAGGGAGTGGAAACAGCTTAGCAGAGAGGTGCTGAGTGCACTTGCGTTCTGTGCCTATGACATGCAGGTGGCAAAGGGCTCCATGTGTTTTGGGGACATTAGGCATGAACAGTATGTCTGGCTCTGAGCCCCAGCTCTACTGATAGCATCAGTGATTCTTGAAAGTCTTGGAAACGGCCTGTGAATCATTCCTCCTGCTTCCTAGAGCTTGTAAAAAGTCATGAGAAAAAAAAGCATCAGGCCTGCATTTCTTATAACTATAAATACTATGCTTTCATGTTATAGAGTTATTGGTGTGGAATATGCTCAGCTGCCCTCAAGGAGTCCACATGGTTACGAAGCAGTTGTAGTTTGCTCCCAAGATCTGTTGATGCACAAGTCTACTCCAAAGACGTCAAGAAAACATATATACACACACAGTATATAGTGTATATACATATATATACACACACACAGAGTATATACACATTTGACTATGTAAAAGATAACGTGATAATCTTTTCACATACCATTCTTTATATTATTTCACATAAGTACAGCACAGTGACTGATTCTTCTGTATTCAGCGTAAAATGAGGTCTGCACAGTTAGCAGCATTTTATATTCCATCGTGCATGGACATTCCTAGCAGGTTACTAAATGCATTCCTTTGTTCAAGGACTTTGCATTCTGAAAAGACACTTATGTTTCACTTATAGAAATCCATTTAAGAAAAGCTACATACCGTTCTATTTAGCGCGTTAATTGTTTCACGTAATGTAGCTTCACTGAGGGCTGTCCTTCTAGAGAGTACTTCTTCATGTTTACAGCTGTATCTCCAGGTGACATCCACAACCTCAAGCACAAGTTGAAGAAGAAAATAAAGCAACAAAATATTGCCATGTAGCTTTCTTCATTTAAAGGGGTTACTAATCAAAGTTTGTTTTTCTGTAATAAATAACATCCCACACTTGCCTCAGGGCAAATTTGGTTTTTATTAACACCATTACTCCTACCTCATCTTTGGAGAATGCAATTATGTAGGACAGCTTCTTTCCCCACCCAGTTTCATAGAGAAGAGGTTTATCACAGACATTTTCACAGGGATCACAGTGAAGCCACCTTTTCTGAGATGCCGAATATACTTCAGTCCACACATGATCTATATAACAAAGACCAAGGATAAGCAACAAGTTATAAGGATAGATCCTGTCTTCTAATACTGTGAAATATTGTACCTTTTGCCAATTCATTAAATGAAGGAACAGGTGAAAAAACATGTTTTCTGTTCAGAAAAGCCACCAGAGCTTGCTTTCTCTTTTTACCATACTCCCTTCAATTCAAGTGAAGATTGTAACCTTTTGAAGTCAAACCTCACTTGTAAAACTGTATTTCATCACATCAGGCAAGACAGGAAATTGAATTTATATTACCTTTGTTAGCTGAACTGCATGACTTTATATAGCCTGATGGCTAATAGAATGTGAGAACCATAAAATATATAACCTCATTTTGCATAGGTTTGTATGAACATTATGATATATAGAATACGGATACCTGTATAGTCCCAGACGTATCTAGCTTCAAACCCTACAGCTCTGCAGCACAGTGTAAAACAGTTAGCCCACTCGCCACAGCGTCCACATCTGGTTTCCAGAAGTTTTTCAGGGTTATTATACCTATAGGAGAAAAACAAAATAAAACCAGAATAGTTGAAAATACACTTCACGTTCCAAAATCATTACATTATGACTGCCCTTGTGATGATTTAGACAGATTCAGTGCCATTCAGTCCACAAAAGTTAACGGAAATGATTGCTATACTGCACAAAACAAGTGTGAGCAGAACACTACTTTGACTCACATGACTGTACCACATGTTTATAGCAGCACTGAAATTAATTTGTTCTTTTCAGTTTTCAAAACTGACTGAGACTTCATCTTAAAATAAGATTTTTGTATGCTGGTCCTTCTGAGAGTTAGCAAAAACAGGAAAAAAAATGGATATTTGCTCTTTTCCCACAGACTCAGCAGATGTGTGATTTCCCAGTGAAGTGAAAATTTTCATTGAAATAATAAAAACCTACCTATATAACAATATTAACATACTTTATTTAATTATCAAATTAACAGTAAAAATAATAATAAGAAGATCAGACAAGTATGCAGAACAAGGCCACATAAAATAAAGCAATATTTTGGTTTTAAAAATTTTTTATCTTATAGAGCAGTTGCTAGTTCATCAACCATCCTATCATGCTGCTTAAAACAGCTTCTATAATTTTTCAACCAACAACTTATCATTTGTTCACAGAAAATACAAATGCAAAGCTGTTTCTTGAAAGACAAGAAAATAAAGACAAAGCAAATCTTTGTATGCTCACCTTGGGAATCTATTAGAGAACTGACACTGTTTGCAGTAATGATTTTCCACTCGCCTGGCATTCCACCTTAGCTCATCATCAGTAGGCAACAGGTACTCACTTTTAGACTCTGTCTGCCCACCACACCTGCTGCAAGGAAGACTATTTACCCAATGAAAAAAGTCACTCTTAAACCAGTCCAAGAGCTCCAACAACAAGAAGTCCTCTTCATTCACGTGTGCACCTGTGAAAATTTCACAACACACAGTTAGGCCAAATGGAAAAATAATTTAGTTGAACTCTCCAGTGCCTACATAAATCACCATCTCTGGGCCTTTATTACATTTTTAGAAGTCTTATTATACAAAAAGTTGCATATGTTACTTAAGCACACACAAGAAAGTCTAAATTCTCAAGACTGAATAACATCAAACTCTGTATCTAAAGAACAAAAATCTACACTCCTAAACACTACAACTAGAGCAAGAATAAGGAATTGCTCAGAAAAACAAGTTAGATACACAGTGAAGCCCAGCAAAATTCCTCACACACTTCATTCTTCCGGGCTTCAGAAGAGAATGTGTTAATTCTTCTTCTACTCCTAAATATTCTTTTCCTATTCTTAGCTATTAAACTACGAATAACAATTGCTTTGATTTCATAATCCCCAAAAACCAGACACTGGCAGCAGTCCAGACAGCCAGGTGCAATATGAACAGGCTTTCTACAAAAATAGCTTAATTATTGTAGAATGTGTACATATACCCTGTGAATAAAGTTGAATTTGTTTATAAATTCAGCAAATAAACACCTTTGTCAGCTTACACAAGTTAAACACAGGATGCCTTTATTTTTCTACTCGAGCAGATGTCACCACACTAGACCACCAGACTCTTCTGGCCAATGTTTTCATGTTCATAACAGGTGTTAGAATCTACTCACACACTGTCACTATTCTACCACATGCAAATACTCCCACTTTAGCTAATTAACAAATTCAAAAATCCATTCTTCCAAAAGAGATCCATCCCTTCAAACTCCTCAGATTCTTTAAATGTACATTCTTCCCCAATGCCTATAAAGATACTTTTCCTTCTCAGATTCATAAACATTCAAGTAAATCCTCCTATTAACTCCATCACCTCAGCCACAGCACAGCCATAGATATTAATAACTGGTTATTTTATGCACTACAGCTTGCTTGTAGTTACAGTGCAGACAGGGCTGACTAATGAATGCAAAGACACAAAAATAATCTATAAAAATGCTCTTTAAAGGAAGTTGAAGGAAGTTGCACCAAATTTGTGCACTAGCGCCTTTTTTGGGACAGCAAAGACAGACCAGGCAAGAAGTGCGTTTTACTTATTTAAGCTCAATTCACATCTTCCTCTGAAGCTGAAGTATATTTTGGTATAAAAGACTCTGTGGGAGCCCTAACTTTATTAAACACACATTGCCAAGACCACGAAGCACATGAGAAAAGATCACCTGTTAACCAAAGCATGAACACCTGACTTAATTGTACTAAAATTTCAATTTTTATTTATTATATGTGAAAAAGATTTGTGCTAAAACATTCAGGTACAGTGTTATTGCTTATAGAATGGATATGCTCCTATATCCAAACTTTCTGCCAAAAACTGAATCAGAAGATTTCGAGCACAGGCCATATTCTCTTTTCTTGGATATGAACACACAATCCAGAAGCCATCTATGAAAATATGACCGCTATCATAGGAATATTCTTCTCTTGGTTTGCAAAATAAATTCTTCATGAAAACGTTGCATAGAAAGAATGACAACTGTGACTTATTTATTTGTGACATACAGCAATTTTTGACTGCACAGTCCATCCTTCTAATGGGAAGTGATAAAAGGGAAACAGTAAAAAAAATGTCTGTACTTCTGATCAAATGCTTGTATTCTTCCTTGTCCTGGTTTGAGGCCAGTTTCAGTGGCCAGTCTGGCCCAAACCACAGCATTCCTCACACAGTCTTTATGAACCAAAAATGTGTATTTTGCCTTCTAAGGGAAGCCTTAAAAAACAAGCATCCTCCAGTACTAAGCAGTTATTCCCACAGGTAAAAGCACTAAGTACTAGAAGTACTACGAGATAAACCAAGGAAGTTCAAAGGGCCCATTACCCATATGTCTCATACACAGCCCATTCCCCAAGGAATGTTCCTTTTTAAAAATGCTTTCAAGCTGTCACAATCCAAAACAGTGGAGTTCCATCCCTTTATTTGTATCTAAATTGAGGTCTGGAAGCCTTTTTGGATATATCAGCTCATTGGCGCAGGAAGAAGCACCTGGAAATGTGTGCCCAGTGGAATTAGAGCAGAGTCTAAGTAGGCGGCTTGTCTTTATTTTCTCTTTTTAAAGGAATTTAAATAGTTTTAATTTATTACTGCTAAACCTCTTTTCCTGATGGAATTGTCCTACGCTGCTGAATGAGAATGCTTTGCACTTGTTTATGTGGTTTCCTACTTCCCAGTATAGCTTGATAAAAAGAGAAAAAATACTAAGGAAATACATTGTCAAAAAGTTCCCTAATGCCAAAGGCACAATTACACATTAGCATGTGGCTGCATGATACATCACTAAGTCATTTAAAAAAAGATGAGAAAAGCTTATTTTTGGTTTGCAAAAATCAAGTTAGCAGAATTGCTTCAGAGTCTTCTATCAAAGATTAACAGTTAAAAGGATTTTTTGGTTTAAGTATGGTCTTAAAATCATATCTTTTTTAATACTTATCTCATACAAGTAAAATTTCACTATATTGCTGAAACAAATGTAGAACTGTCACTTGAACATAGAAAAATGTAATTTTTAGCTGGCAAAGACTTTGTGCATTCAAAACAAATTTGCATTCATGAAAAAAAATATAAATTTTAGCCACTGATGCCACAAATATTTATGCCTGTATTTCACTTCATCCTCCAAAAGGATGGCATATGAACAACACTGTTCATTCAAACATCAACAAGGAGGTGGTTCTTTGTATCAGACTGTCTTGTAAAGGTCTCATGCAAAATCTTACCAATAAAAATCACTTTAAAAAGAGAAGCAGTATTTTGAAATTTTATTCTGAATTTGGAATTGTGGTATGTATGGGAAAATTTCACTCTGACAATTTCAAAATAATAACTACTCAAACAAGAGGCTCCCCTCCTCTTGTTGTAGCTATTTCACTCTACATGCAAGGAACATGAGTACACACTCCCCTAATCTATGTCCCCAGCATTGTTTCCTACTAATCCAGAAATCAACAGTTCAAAATTTATATGTGAAAGCAGTAAAGGATGGATTACAAAAATGCAATTAAAAAAATAACAGAAGGAGAGAGAAGAGCAGAAAATCTGAAAATTAAGAAAGTAATTCTAATTTAGAAACAGGATTTGGAACCTGCAGACATATGATCAAATCTACACACTTAAAGCATAGTACATCTATGAATCATCCAGGTGTTTGAAAGTGTATTTCTAGTTTCTTGTAGAGTATACTTTGGTAGTATTACCTTTGTCCAGTCTTGTAGCTTGTGCTAGCTTTTTCTGAGCCTTTCCTTTCAATTGCTGGAGGGGAATCAAAGCTAGTGCTTTCTGCTGAATTGAAGGATTCTCATACATCAATACAAGATGCTCAAAATTTGTTTGAAGTGTTTTCAAGATATTTGCAGCCTGCAAAAGGATTTTCAGTCACAAGATGATTTATGAACCTTAAGCAGAAGAACCAATTATGACTAAGTCAGTCCTAATTCTTTACTCATAGTTACATTATATATTTCTTTACAGGTAAAAATGTTTATTTGTAAAGATATGAATATAAATTACAGACACCACCACCCAAACCGTAAAAAAAGCCTTGTCATCTTTGAACATTCTGAAGGATGTCCTGAGTGAAAAGCATACTGATTCAGAGAGAAGATACAACAGCTTTGAAAGACACCTCTGAAGTCAAAGTTTTTGACTTACATATACCCTCCCCACTCCCATTTCTTTTGGGCATGTTTTACCTGAACTGTAATCCATTCAATTTCCTGGACACCCATTGCTGCACCAGTTCGCAGAACTCTGTTATTGATGCATGCTGCTTTTTTTTCTTATTCATGAACACTGCTTGGTTTTTTCTACTTCCTTCTCTGACAGATAACACTGATAGGGATTTGAACAGACAGCCCTCTGACCATATACTGAACAGCGTATTCCACTAGAAATCAAATACAAGAACTCGACTTCTTCAGTCAGTTATTCAAAGTGTCACTTAGTGGCAACTACATGTTGCACGCAACAAGGTACACCTGTATCTACTAAAATAAATAGCTAAAGTTAGTAACAGTGGAGTCAGTAGCTGAGCAACCTATTTACTCCCATTTAAAGGAAGACAACACAGAAAGTGAAATGGGATTTTAAAATTAAGAGTCTGGCATATTTTGGGGTGAAGTCTGTGGCACTGATAAATTACCTTTTCTCTACAGTTGGATCATGCCTCAGTCTTTAGTCTTGTTAACTACCATCTTTGTTTCATCAAAAATCCCACACTTTCCTGAGACGCTAGCAGCAAATGCAACATAATACACAGGTGTGGGCATTCTTTGAAAGATAATTTTTTTCAAAGAAACATCTAAATTAAGAATGATTATTTTGATGCTGGACAGTACTACAGGACCAGTCCTCACTTTTCATAACTGCTGAAACAGAACAGAACTGGTTTCGCTCTTCCTGGAGCTCATCAGCTGTAGGTAACTGGTTTAACATCATAAACCCAATTGTGTTCAGATTCACTTTAATGCAAGTTGAAAGAACAGAAATAAGGGAAGTTAGAAACTGCCAATCACTTAATGATCTCCGCGTTCCATCAGCTTCCTGAAAGAGTGTTCAGAGATATTGCTCAGCACAGCACAAAGTCTCCCAGATTCTTTGGCAATTCAGATTTTCCCACTGGCAAACACATCAGCGTTACAGTAGTGCTTAACTGGTCTCATGGAAGCCACTCCATACCACTGAAGTCTTATGCAAACATCTAGAAGTGCAGTGAACCTCACTGCAAATCTAACTTTGGATACTTCTTTCTTCCTATAACCACTATGTCATCAGGAGGGGATCAGAATCCATCCACCAGAGTACCGACAAGCCAGAGCTTTCCTTTCTCTGAGTTTCAAGAATGCTTTATGATAAGAAACACAGAAGAGACACAGATGAGGCACAATAATGATGGATTAGGTGCCTAGAACTGCGCCATTTAGGAATACTCCTGTGCTGTCTTAAATAAGCCACTTCTTCCTGTGCTTACCAGGACCCCCGTGAATCACAGGTGTAATGCACAGGCAAGAAATAAAAATGCTTGCACTATGAAAATCACTCTAAATCTCTCTGACATCTGACAGCAGCACATACAACAATAATACAACTATACCTCTGCAGCATACTCACTGAAAAACAAAACACCTAATGCTGTGCAAGCAAAACGGCCAAGTCATAGCCAGAAGGTATTTTATGGACTTCCTTCCAATCAACTCGGACTACACAGACCAAATTCAATGGCTCAGAGACCTATTGGTATAATTTGCTGAAGAGATCAGCTGAAATACAGCATTCTAACAGACTGCTAACATTGCATTAGCAATGACTCTAAATTGAAGTGAGTTTGGTCCCAACACCCACGTTGAATCTCAAGAAGCATGGAAAAATAATAGTTGCAGAAAAATGGATCCACAACTCCAATGACCAGCATAAATGGGGGCAGAATAACTACAAATGAGAGCTATTAACCTCAGAATACATTGAGTCAACTTGAAATCTGCAACATTTTTCTCATTAAAAGTTGTATTGATCTTGCAAAGCTTTAAAGCTTCCGGTACTACAGTGTGTCACTCTAGAGCTTTCGTAATCACTTCCAACCAACACTGCAGAAGTGGCTAAAACTGTAAAAACCAAGAACCAAAAAACCAAACCACTCCAAAACCTCAAACAAATACAAACAAACCCAGCCATTTTATTTTAGAGGTAACTACTGGCACGCTGACATAATTAGATGAAATGCCTCAATATTCAAATGCCTACAACAGTTCCTTTCCCAAAGGACATTATGGGTGATGATGAGTCACTGCACACTCTCTCTCTCCTGATAAGCCATCACTTCAATCTATGCTTTGCCATTTCTCTTAACTGATCTTGGTTAGGTATTGGGAAGCAATTGTATGTCATATTTCAGTATTCAACAATATACTGATAATATAATGTAAAAGACACAAACTCTGTTTAAGGATGCATAAGAAGCAAGCTTTTGGAAGGATTCCTCTTAGACCAACTTTAAGACCACAGTGACACAGGTTCTAGGGGGGGAAATCCTCTAGAAAGTTAAACCAGAGCATCCTTCAAACCTTCTATCAAAAGGCATAACTTCATTTTTCAAAGTTGTATGAGTTGTTAAGAGTCTTCTTCCCGTCAGGCCAGTTAACATGACATGAAATGAAATGATGCCTCTCTGTCTTGATAAGTAACTTCATTTCAACCTCTTGGAAAAGGGCAACACAGCCTACATAACTATAGATTTGTCCTTGCCTGGCTAAATTCCTGTCTCTCACAATAGTTGCATGTTAAAAAAAGAAAGTCCGTCTCATAGGCTACACATAGAGGTCTTAACGCGTGGACTGAGATGCCAACAACTATAAACATTACAGTTTTAATTACATCCTGTTCTTTTGCTGGCTCTCAAATACAAAATACAGTATAAAGCCCTAGTCTTATCTTCCCACCTCTCCCTCTGTTCCCCCACCTTGCTGTTTCCTTCCAACACAAAACAGCTTTTTTTCCACAACACCTTGATCAATAAAATATTTATAGACATCTTCAATAAAATCTCTTCCTAAAATTCTATTTATGGCATATTTCATGTTGAAGTATTTCATGGAGACTGAAGAAAACACTCAAGAACTTCATAAATCATTGGAAAAACAAAAAAGGTCCTCTAGTCCAATCTCCTGCTTGAGGCAGGGTTAGCTATAAGGTCAGACCAAGTCAATCTGGGCCTTATCCACTCAGGTCTTGAAAACATCCACATTTGGAGACTACAAAGGCTCTCTGAGCAGCCTGTCCCAACAGTTAACTCTTTTTCAATCTTTACATTCAGGGTTAGTGTGCCTACAAAGTTTTCAGGTTATTACCATTTCAAGAGATTGCACAAGTGATGCTTCTGGTCGCTGACGGGCAGGGGCAAGAACAGAGTCAGCAGGTCTTGAAGGCTGGTGTGCAACTGTCTGAGTGCTGGCCACAGTTTCAGAGGATCCTGATCTGTGGATTTGATTGGACTCATTCAGTCTGCTACTCCTCTCTCCAGCAATTAAGTCTCTGATTTTACGTAGCTGCTCAATCGAAGCTTCCTTAGGGAAAACCAGGTGAGTTTCTCCCTGAAATTTAGACAAATTAATCCATCAGTTAATGCAGGTCTAAGCTAGTCAGTGGTTTGCATCTACAGCTAACAGTGGTATCATTTACTGGAAGTTAGCACACTAAGGGTTGGCAGGATTCAGCCCTCAGATTAGGTCCCTTACAGCAGAAGCTTGTAGGTCCCTCACAGCAGAAGCTATTAGATCAAAAACCTATTGTCAGTTTAGAGAAAAAGGGCTCATAACAACATGCTTTTGTTAGTAACTTATTTTGCAGAGCCACACGCGGACAACACAATTATGGTTTGGCAGAGAAAGTAGCAACAGCAGAAATGAACAACAAACACTCAGTTCTCACAGTACAGCAGCAAAACGCTTTGCAACCCAGGAGGGTAGCCCATGTCAGGGGAAGAAGCCTCTAGAATGGCATCTGCTGGGAATTCTCTTCTATACCAATATCTTTTAAGTTTTATAAGTTTTCAGATAAGAAATATTATTCTTATTAAGACCTGTATGCAGCTTGATTTCTGTGTTCCCATTTTTAATCATAACATGATTACTGGGAGCATAACAAAAGATTAGTAATTATGACAGAAGCGAGTATCAGTGTACTTAACACGAAGAAACAGATTACTAAAACCATGAATATCCTGAAGCATTTATACTTTTAAGAGTTTCAGTTTCTGCCACTACAGCACTTCTATTTCTTAAACTGAGTAATTTGTTTATCCAGTTACCTTAGGTCACTTATCATTGCAGATGCAGTGCTTCACTTTAACACCTACAGTCACCACAAAACTAAATGAAATGTATCAATATAGCAAAAGAGTCCTCATTTTTTAATTGAAAAAGTTGGCTTACCAAGCAGAGACATAAGAAGGAACAATTTTAGTTATCACAGTTGAGGAGAAGCTTGTGAGCTCCAGCCTCAATTGACAAAATAACTGTAACACTGAGACAAGATGCTCTTAAGTATCTGACAGAAGTGGGAATAGCACTTTATAACATGTTTAAAATGACTATGTTATTACTGCTTGAGTGCTTCACTATCTCTTGGCTAACCCACATCACTAAAAGTCATCTCCTGAATATCAGCATGAGAATAAATCCACAGACCATTTCTCCCTCTCCAGTCACCATTTCTGTCAGCATACTAATTTTTTTTAAATTAGGACAATTACACTAATTAACTTTACCTAAAGAGAAGACAGAGGTCTCATGACTGCTGGACATAAATAACATAATGTATGTACCCATACAGAAGCATTGCATCAAACAGACAAATTAAAGCAAAGCTAGAGCAAGAGCTCTGCACCATTAAACAAGAGATGGGTTTTCACCCCAGCTGTTCTGTAATTAGAAAGGCTGCTTCTAGCTTAACAAGCTTCGGCAGTTTAAGTTCTACCAAGACAGAGACCACTTCAAGACACAAAGCAATCTTTGAAATACATCTTTTTGACCGCAACAGAATCAAGATTCACTCAAGACTATTTTAGGATATGATCTCATATCTGGTTTAAATGGGTAAAAGTCCCACCCTCCCACTACTTCAACAGTCTGTTGCCATCCACTGCTGTCATGACAACACCTGTACTTCTGAAGCTGCACTGTGAATTGGCTGAAAAACACTCTTGTTTTTGATTTGGGGGATTAATTTTTAATCAGATCAACTTCCTTTAACTAACGATCTAACTCACTATGGGGCCACATAAGCCCTACTCATGGTAGGAACAAGCAACAGAAGAACAGGATTTAGCCTCCCCCAGCCCCTGCCTCCCAAATGACGGTTCCAACACACAGATTTACAATATGGAAACTACCATCTGGTGATGCAGTCTGCTGTCCACCTAACAGGGAGCTGCTGCTAAGAGAAGGGGGTTTCACACCACTTTCCACCATTTCCTTTGTGCCTGTATAGATACATATCTGGGTACTAAGCAAACTAGTGGGGCACTAGTCACAGATCAGCCTAGCTCTACCTCCACCAGACTTCTGAAGTAGCCTCATCTACATTTTCTGTTGGTTAACTGCAGATATTTGCAAACAAGGATTGAAAGAAAATTAAGAAAGTAGCAAGCAGTTTACAATCTAGTGCCTTGCAACTGGGAAAGGAGGGGGAAAAAAAAAGTCTGATTTTAAATTTTAGTGTGTAAACCGATAAAGACATCAGAAACGACTAAATTATACTCACCTCTTGAAATCCCATCTCAAATAAACATTCAACTGCTCCTCTGACAGGCAACAGCCTTGTGGAAAATGCTGGATTTCCAATCCGAATTAATCTATATTTTTCTTCATAAGGATTCCTGAAGAAATTGAAAGTTTTAATTATGTTTCCAAATTAAGTAAACACTTAAAAGCTGGGTAAGCGTATTAAGCAACATTAGTGATTCATAAGAGATTTTTTTAAAGTTTAACTTCCTTCACACTATATAGGCAAAACGTGAAACCCATCTAAAACTTTGACTTACTTCATGTCCTTCTGCATTTAACTTTGAGAGTTACAAAATTGGCTCTGCTCTAGATTCTAGTTTGCAACTTAGGTTCATAAATATGTGTTTTGTAGTCCTAGCCAGGAGGGCTTAGTCTGCAGTGACACTTAAAGACAACTTCATGCCCCCCCCCCTCCCACCGTAGCCTTCTAATGGAATTCCTCAGCTCGATGCTGGATGGTTTTAAGCCCACCACAGAAGTTATGCTAAACTTCCAGTTTAAAGTACTGTGGTCTCTGCTTCTTGAAGGGCTACCTCTCAGTTCCTCTTTCAACTCTTTTAAACCTTCTTCTCTCGCCTCTTTAAGCAGAGTCAGCCCAGGACACACTGTTCTCTGTCACACAGCACAGCTTTTGCAAGTGGTTGGCAGAGCAGATATAGACAGGGAGGGGCAGCTCGTATGTCTTGAGATGCCTGAAGCCATCAAGGTCAATCACATATATTGGTGTGTATATATATTCTACAGAGCCACCTTGCAAAAATTAAACCATAATTAACTCTTGATACCAATCTTACAAAGTCAGAAAAGAAAGGCAACAGAATAGCCAAGTTACTATTTTAGCATTACTTGTTGTGCATCCACCAATTTTTAGGTGCTTAAGTGCTTGCAGAACCAGGGCCAATTGCAGGCTTTTATGCTTAGCACAAAAAACAAGCCCTTGAAACAAAGCAACCAGCAATGAATCAAGAAATAAAAACCCAAGCCACTACACACGCCTGCGAAAATTAACCTTATTTTTAAGTGACGACAAAAAGAAGCGAGATATTTCTGAACCTGGATGTTACATAATGGAGTCCAATCATGGGGCTCATCTTCGAGAAGGTTGGAAGATGGAAGCCCAGAAATCATAGAATCATAGAATCGTCACAGGCCGGAAGGGACCTCCAAAGGCCATCTAGTCCGATCCCCCCGCAGTCAGCAGGGACACCCCCAACTGGACCAGGTTGCCCAGGCCCTCGTCGAGCCTCACCTTGAATATCTCCAGGGAAGGGGCCTCAACTGGCCCCTCCTGGGCAACCTGTTCCAGTGCTCCACCATCCTCATACTAAAGAAATTGTTTCTAATAACCAATCTAAATCTGCTCTTCACGAGCTTTAAGCCATTGCCCCTCGTCCTGTCAGTGCAGGCCTTTGTAAACAGGCTCTCCCCAGCCTTCCTGCAGCCCTCTCAGGTACTGGAAGGCCGCTATTCAGTCTCCCTGGAACCTCTTCTTCTCCAGGCTGAAAAACCCCCGAAACAAATCGCTGCGTATGAGCATTTCACGATAAAGAGGTTCTCCGGCTGCATTTGGTAACCCAGCAGGAACTGCCAACTCCGCACGCCGGCTCCTGTTTTCCTACGGAGGCGCCAGCCAAAGGGCCGGGCTGGCCAGGCCGCTGCCGCCCAGCCTCTGCCCGCGCTGCCCTTCCGCACCCACGCACGGCCGAGACCGCCGACTCACGGCCGTAGAACGGGGGGACAAGCCCAGCCCGTCTCGGATCCCGACCCCGCGGGTCCCCTTGCGGGACACAGCGGCCAAAAGCCCCGGGGCTGAGGCGGCAGCTTCCTGACAAGGCGGCGACCGACCTCCCTCCCTGCCTGCCTCCCGCCCTGCCCCGCTCACCGCAGGATGTTGTCCGCGTAGGTAAGGAGCAGCCGCGAAGCCTCCAGGAAGATCTCCCGCCCGTTCTGGCAAAGCTCGCTGACAGCGGGGGAGGCCGGCGGGGAGGAGAGGCCCACAGCGGCCGCCATCGCGCCCGCCCACAGCCCGGCCTGGCAGCGCCAGCGGAACTTCCGCGCTGCGCCAGGAGCGCGCCGCAACGCGCATGCGCGGCCGGGGGCGGTCATCGCCCTCAGGCCCCGCCCCCCTCGCGGGTGGGAGGGGCTTTAAAGGGACAGAGCGGGGCCGTGGTGGGGTGTTCCAGCAGTCGGGAGAGCCCCAAATTTCTGTCTCCGCTTTTTATAGACGCCCAGTTTGCGCTGTGAACGCAGGAACCGCGGCGAGGAATCTCGCACAAAAAGGTCTGCGGTGCTTTGCTTTCTTTCTTAACACCTGTTAAGAGTGAGTCCAGAGGAGGGCCATGAAGATGCTCAGAGGGATGGAGCAACTCTCCTATGAAGACAGGCTGAGAGAGTTGGGGTTGTTTGGCCTGGAGAAGGCTCCAGGGAGACCTTAAAGCCACCTTCCAGTTGCTGAAGGGGGCCTACAGGAAAGATGGGGAGGGACTCTTTATCAGGGAGTGTAGTGATAGGGAAAGGGATAATGGTTTTAAACTGAATGAGGGGAGATTTAGATTAGGTATTAGGAAGAAATTCTTCACGTTGAGGGTGGTGAGTCACTGGAACAGGTTGCCTAGAGCTGTGGCTGCCCCATCCCTGGAAGTGTTCAAGGCCAGGCTGGATGGGGTTTTGCTCAACCTTCTCTAGTGGGAGATGTCCCAGCTCCCTCAGCCTGTCCTTGTAGCACAGGTGCTCCAACCCCCTGATCATTCTCATGGCCCTCCTCCATCAGGTCCATGTCCCTCCTATACTGAGGGCTCCAGACTTGCACACAGTACTCCAGGTGAGGTCTCACCACAGCAAAGTGGCAGAATCACCTCTCTGGATCTGCTAGCAATGCTTCTTTTGATGCAGCCCAGGATGCGATTGGCCTTCTGGGCTGCAAGTGCATACTGCCTGCTCATGTCCAGCTTCTCATCCACCAGCACCCCCAAGTCCTCTTCCTCAGGGCTGCTTTCTAATACCTCACCCCCTAGTTTGTATTGGTGACGAGGATTGTTCCGGCCTAGGTGCAGAACCTTGCATTTGCTCTTGTTGAACCTCATGATGTTCACCTGGGCCCACCTCTCCAGCCTGTCCAGGTCCCTCTGGAGGCCATCCCGTCCCTCTGGTGTATCGACACCACCACACACCTTGGTGTCATCTGCAAACTCGCTGATGTTTATGAGGTTTATAGGTTTGGTAGTTGTTGGTTGTTTTTTTTCCTCACTCTTCCTTTGCGTGTTTTAAACGCGTGGTTCGGGGGAAGGAAGGGATTTCCTTGCCTTTACCAGTTCTCAGTGCTACTTCTCTCTGCACCCATGATCCCGGAAGCGGAACCGGATCGCGGCCGCCATCGCCACCGCCCTCTTCCGCCCGGCAGCGCAAGTCCACCGCCGAGCTGCCGATTCGCTCGCCCGGCTCCTCACCAATTGTGACATCGGGGATCGGCTACAAAGCCGTCCCGTTCCGGTCCCTCTGTCGCCTCCCGGGTCTGTCCCGGGTGGTACGGCCCTCCCGCGACGTCGGAACGGGAGGTGGAGCCAAACCATTGCGGAGCG